ATCATTTGGCCCAGGACTTGGCACTAACCCTACGCCTGCCCCCTCACCCTCACTCTCGCCCAAGTCTGTCCTCAACATGCCCAGCCTGCTGCTCTCCATGATCTCACAGTCCACCTCCAGCCCTGTCTGAATCCGCATCCAGCTGGGCTCTGAGGTCAGCCTCCACTCAGGACCCACACAAGCCACCTAAATGCCTTCATCCTCTTGACCTCTGTCTTTCCAACGGTCCACGGCCAGTCCTGGTCGCCCATCCCGTTATCCCAGTTAGGTCCCAGCCAAGACACGCCAGAAGCTCCCGCAAATGCCTGCTTGCTCCAGACCCACCCTTCCTCCCAGCAAGTGTGCACCCTGCTCGGAGACACGCAATCAAACCCCCGGACACCTCCCCTCCCACTGCCCACACTCCAGCCACTCTGACCTTCCAGTTCCTCCTGTACAGCCAGTTTCTTCCCACCTAGGGAGTCCCTGTACATGAAGTTCCCTGTCCAAACACTCCCCTCTGCATGCCCCTCCGCCCCCTCCCTGTCTTGCCAACCCTTTCTCATCTTCCAGGCTTCATCTTAAATGTCACTGCCTCAGGGAAGTTGTTCTCACTGCATTCATTTAAAAAAGAGTCACTTAAACAATTATTTGTGTCAGAACCAAGGACCAGTGTTCTCTGCTGGGTGGTAGGCTGCTGGATGCTCACTCCTGTAGCGCACTGAGAACAGAGCCCGGACCTACGGCGCTACAAATAGTCACCGAAAGCATCTGAGAGGTCAAGAATGGATCAGTCACCCACATCCCTGGCGCCACTGCTTCACACTCAGCCAGTTCCTGCTGGAGGTCCCGTGGTGTCAACAATGGAGTGCCCTGAACCCCTCCTCTGCCCGCCAGCGCTGGGGATGAGGTGCTCAGAGCCCCGGCCTCCTCTCCCGCTCCCACCCCACCAGCGGCTTCACAGCGTCCCAGAAATGTCTCCCAGGCGTCCTTAGGAACAGGGTCAGACAGAGAACCATGCCCATTCTCCCAGGCCTCACTTCCCCAAGAAAACAGGATAGGAGATCACCTTCTCCTGCATCTATCCCGCTGCAGGCTGAGACCCACCTCTTTACGTCCATCCCTTCCATGTGCACTCACAATCCTGGAGCCAACCCATGCGTGCACTGTGTGAGGCAGAGGCACAGCTTCATCACCTCCGGCTCTGGGTCGGAACTGGCTTTAGCCCTCTTCCCCCTCAACTGCTAGATCCTCAAGGGAAGCAGGGGCCTCGGTGCAGAGGCCTGGAGCTCCACACAGGTGAGGAGAGGGCAGGGGAGAGGTCTTTTTCTAAATATTAAAATCTTTAATATGAAATTATTTAAATGTAGTTAAGGTTAGAGTTGTACTTTTTGATGGTAGGCATTTCCATGTAGCTCCTAGGAGACCTCAAACAGTCTTCTACCCAATCAGAGCAGTAAACACCTCCTTAATGTAACACGTTTTTGAAAGATCTGCTTTGCTCTCTTCATTTCTAGTTTCCGAGTCTACTCTGAAGATGGCACCTGCCCAGACTCTGTGAGTCCAGCCCCGGGGTCTGCTCTGGATCCATGGCCCAGAGAAGTCCTCTCCGGGGGCAGGCGGGCTCCTCTCAGGACTAAGGTGGGCGAGGACCTGATGAGCCCCCAGGTTAAAGCAAGAAACTGGGCCCATATTTCTCCCAGTCCTGGCAGCAGGGGCGCCCAATTTCAATGCTTTCTCCCAGCTCCTGGGAGTTACTCATTAACGGACCTTGTTTAGTGCTGTCATTTACATACACATTACTCAGTGTTTTCACTCGAAAGAATTTGTGAAATGTCAATATAATCTCCAATTAAATTAAAGAAGCAGCTCCAATACGTCAGGCTCAAAGGGAGCCACTGATCCTGCTCAGTCACGTCTGTTCCAGACAGACAGCCAGGGGGTCACACGGTGCCAGCGGGAGGACAATCAGTCTTCAGGGAAACACCCAGAGGACGCGCATGAAGACACCGCGCACAGCTGAGTGCTCGAGATCACATCAAGAACAGCTCCTCGCGAGCCAAGAATGCTGTGTACCCCCATGTGCCACACAGCAGCCACCACGGCAGCCACAGGACACTCAACGCGTGTTTCTGATTAAACAGGTAGCTGGTGCGCTCCCCTGCCTTAGGAGCAAGAGTCCTTCAGGTCTACGTCCAGCCTGTTCTATTCTATTACAAGCCTGGTCTATTGCAGCCCGTCCTAAGCGGGAGCTCCTTGTAAGCAAGAGCTGGGCCTTATCCTTTTTTTGACTTTCAACAATGACAGACACTCAGTAAAGACCAGAGTTGTCTTTCCTGTTGCTCAGAGCGGCGGTCGCCAACCGGTGGTCTGCGGACCACTGGTGGTCCATGAGGTCCGGAAGGTTGGTGACCGCTGGCTCAGAGTGTGTTACAAATTGGCTTAGGTGAGTGGCAATAGAAAAAGCCCAATCCTGACACTCTCCCGTGTGTTAAAGGCTCAGGGGCCTGGATGGGCCTATAGGGCTCTTCTTCCATCACAGTCCCTCGTGGCTCTCCTTTTCCCTCAAGGCTGACAAGTGTGTGATCACAGCCCAAAGATGTCTTCTCCCAGCAGCACTTGCCCACACCCTTCTCCTGTTAGCTTATGATTTGCTTCCTTTTTTGGTAATTTTTTTGGGCAGGCAATATTTTTTAAAACTATGTTTTTATTTATTTTTAGAGAGAGAGGAAGGGAGTGGGATAGAGAGACATTGATTGGCTACCTCCTGCATGCCCCCTGCTGGGTGGGGATCGAGCCCACAATCAGGCATCGAATCAATGAAGTCTTGGTTCATGGGTCGATGCTCAACCACTGAGCCACACCAGCCAGGCTGGGTAGGCACTATTTTTTTTCAGTCTTTGCTGTTTTTATTCCCAACTGAAAATGTGTATCTTCTTTCCTTGGTTCCCATTTTAGTGTCTGGTTAATAATGAATATGAAGGAAGAATTTAAAAACACGGAAGCTCAGCTCAGGTGTGGCCAGAGGGGACAGCGAATGCCAACTGGCCCCGAGAGAAAGTGGAGCCACCAGTATAAGAATAGAAAGGCTCCACCTTGTTCCCCCACTCAAGACACCAATGAGCGGTTTTAGGAGCGGTTTTGCCAAGAAGAACTGGGCAAATCTGATATGGATATGTACCAAGTGAGAAGCCAAAGTGACAACTACCTGGGTCAGGTTCAATATGGCCTCACATCCACATGCTATTTGCAGTGTTTGGGGTCCCTCAAACACTCACAGAAACCTGAGTTATTCATGTCCATGAACTGTCCCAGGGATTCTTCACCCCTCATCTTCCTCTCACAGTATCTGTGGTCATGGGCAAAATCTGCATTTTTCTCTTCCACAGTTACACTCTAAAACCTGGACCACATCCTAACCACACCCACGCTCATTGACAAGTTACCTGGGGGCATCAGATGGCAACTCAATGACATTTCTAATGAGGAGCTTCTGTGGAAGCTCAATGAGATCCAAAAGAAATGTACTTTAAACTTGTGGGTGGGACACTTGTGGGCTCCCTTCTGGCCATCTCCAGCCCCTGTAAGCCCCAGACCCCATTCCTCCCCCCGCCACACACCCTCTGCTGTTCTCCCGGCAAGTCTTACCTGGTCCAACTCCCACTTTGATTATATCTGCTCCGGAGAGAATCAGCTCTTCCACCATCTCCCCTGTCACCACGTTCCCCGCCTGAGACAGAAAGAACACAGCTCACGTCATGAACTGCTCCTGGTGGTACAAAGATGAATGAGGGAGGAACTCACACCTGGATGCAATCATGAGCATGTCCCAAGACACCAGGCAGCCAGGAAAACAAAAAAAAAAAAAGAAAAAAAGAAAAAGAAAAAGAAAAGGGGGCTGTGGGGATGAGGAGAGAAAACACTGGATCCTATAGGAGCACACAAGTTGACACCCGGAGACTACATAGAGTATAAAACTCTGTGATTTTACAACTCTAAGACCTTAGACAATCTAGATCAGTACTTTGCAAACATTTCAGCAACGGGTAAAACAAAATCCTACAGAGAACAAATACATAAAATGAGCTCTGCAACACTCAGCTGATTCAAATCTTGATAGTTGGGCATAAAATGCGTCACAGATTGTAAAACCCCTGAAGAACCTTTGTGGAGCCCCAGGGGCCAGGATCAGGAAAATGCTGGTCATCTCACAGCTGGGAAGACACCTGTGTACCCGCCCTCTGGTGAGAGGTTCCCACCCAGATAGGAAAGGGCAGAGGAGCCCCCGTGGACCAACAGCACTGGAACCGGCTCTGTTTTCAGAACACGAAGCTGTGACCCTAATAAAAGACATGTAAGCCAGGACATGGCAGCATCTGAAAACCAGAGGCTGCCTCTGGACTGGAAATAGCACCAGTTCTCTCACTGCGGGAGCCCGGGAGCCCTTTCTGACAGCTTACTGTCCTGTGGATTCTTCAGCTGGTGCACAGACGCGGTGTGATGCCTGACTGAATTTTCACAACGGCACAAAGTCTTATTTTGGGAAATGGATCCTTACTCATGCCACTCATTTTTTTTTTTAATTGAAGTCCCACTGTCTTTCATTGAATTGATTCCCAGGGGGAATTTTTCTTTTTTGACCAACACAAAGTGACTCTTAACTTTGTATGAAATTATCTTGGGAAAGGGCGATAAGGAGGGCTCAAAGCTGCTTTAATCCAAGCAGCATCTGACAATCAAAAATGATAGATGGTCCAGAAAGAGGGCTCCAACATATGAGAATTGTGTTACGGGTCAGCGAGGAGAGGAATCATATTTCAAGAGACTGAGCTGGGAAAGGCATCTTTTGAGAACAAATACAGATTATTACTCATACTTTTCACCAAAATAAGCTTCAGGTGGATTACAGTCAAACTAAAAGTTTTATCCCCCCAAACTTAGAAGAAAACCTTGAATACTTATAATAAGCATAAAAGAGAGAGAAAAAACATAAACATGGATCTGCCCTGGCTAGTGTGCTCAATGGTTAGAGCGTCAGCCTGCACACCAGGGGGTTGAGGGTTCGATTCCCAGTCAAGGGCATGTACCTGGGTTACAGGTTCCATCCCTGCCCCTGGTCAGGGCATGTACTGGAGGCAACCAATCAATGTGTCTCTCATATCAATGTTTCTCTCTCTCCCTCCTTCCTTGCCTCCCTTCCTTCCTTTCTCTAAAAGTCAATGGAAAAAAATATCCTCAGGCCAGTATTAACAAAAACAAAACAACACACATAAACATAGATCTGTCTATCTGAAAATAAAAAGCTTGTTCACATATAAACACACAAACTCATACATACAATCAACAAAACTAAGAGGCAAGTAAGCTGGTGCAGAAAATGCCTATAATTGTGACAAAGGGTTCCTGCCACAGGAGCTCTTCCAAATGTACAAGAAAAATGCTAACACCTCGCCGACTAGCTGCCAAAGGATGTGTACAAATGAATGAAAGAAACAAAATTGGCCAACACACACAGTGAAAGAACTGAACCTTTCTAATAATTGATTTTACATTATGAGACCAGTGAGGTACCACTTTTCACTTCACAAATTACCGACGATTATGAAATGCTAAAGAGAAAACAGACACTCTTTCTCTGCTGGAGGAATGTCTATTTTAGTACAAGTTGTCTTAGGAAACAATGTATGCACACGGAAGAAATGCAAAAATTCGTACATCCTTTCATCCAATAAGACTACTTCTAGGATCCCCTCCCAAGGAGATAATCACAGATGAGGTCACAGGATTTGACTACAAGGATGTTATTTACAACCGTGCAACACTGTGAGTGCATTCCCCCGAAGGGAATCAACCCAGGGCCTCTCCAAGGGATGCTTTTAAGCTTCATTGAATGGCATGGGAAAACGCCCAAATGCTTCCAGTATAATATGGGGGAGACAAAAGGAAATAGTAAGATCTCCACTTTGTTTTTAAAGAAAGACAACACGAGTATATGTATATATGAAAACACACACCCACATGCTAACAAATTATGTCTACATGGAAGGATTATCTGACTTTTAATCTTTTTCTTTAAAATGTTCTAGATTTACAGTATAAATTGTATGACTTTTATTAAACATGATTTTTTTTTTGCTTTTGGTTTGTTTGTTTTTTTAAGCACAAGGACCCACATGAACTCTGTGCCCAAGAAAGAACATAATAGAAATCTGAGAAACAAGACTCTCATTCTTCCTCACTGGTTGACCTGCTGAAAAATAAAGCTTTAAAGTTTTAAAAATAAGATAAAAATAAATTTTTAAAAATAAAATTAAGAAATCAAAAACTTAAAGACACTACTTTAAGCTCCCCACATAATTTCATTTTCAATGTTGATTTCCACATCCACTCCCCACCCCACACACACACACCCCCACCCTGTGCCCCAAGTCTGGTGCTGCCTACAGATCATTTTATTTCAGAGGGCCTACTTCACAGAAAATAAAAGAAAGAAAGTCAGCTCATGATGGACGAACCAGGTGCAACCAGGCACAGTCTACGTTTAAAAGCTTGAGGACGATGATACTGTCTGGGTAGCCCAGAGGTTGGCACAGGTAGCTGAGGGGATGGGAGGACACCAGTGTGGCTCCTTATGGAGGCCAGACCGCAGTCTCCATAGAGGGCTGCTGGGTGGAAAAACCCCGAATGCCAGGACATGCCTCAAGCCTGAGGAAACACGACAGGAAGGCTGACAACGAATGGGAGAGGACGACTCGAGCCTGAGGAAACACGACAGGAAGGCTGACGACGAATGGGAGAGGACGAGGGAGTTTCCACTTGCAGGAACAAAAAGTTTTCTATTCAAGTTCGAAATCAAGAAGGGCAAAGATAAGGGGGAAAGGAAAAGACAACGTCAGAATGAGAATGCTGGCAGGAGTATGGCCCGGCTCCAGTGAAAGCTGCAGGCAGGCAAGGCAGCTCGGGGCCTGGGCTTGCTGGGCGGGGAGCCGCTGGGGGAGACTAGCGAGGAGCTTGCTTATCTTGGCCTGAAGCACCACGGGTGTGCAGTGGATATGGACTGTCCGAATGGGACCGCACCCAGCAGCACATCCGGCTGTCACTCAGACAGCTCAGGAACGACCATTCTGGGGGCAGCCACAACAAAACGGAATCGCCAGACCCTTATCTGGGCACCAAAGCCAGCAAGTGGAGATTTCCACTGGGTCCCCCTTTCCCTGAGGGGCCATGTGCTGCCGGCAATGACTGCTCCTCCATTCAAGAAGGGTGAGGACCCCAGGAAGAGACACAAAAGCAACAAAATGAACCTTCCCAGTACTTTTGTACCATTTAAAAAAGCCCTCTGGGCAAAACCCAAACCCCAAACTGTTTTGCTCCAGTTTTTCCAGCTTTCCTTTAGACCTGGACACCTATGGCCAAATAAGTTCAGAAAGACCTGGGTTCAAATAAGTTCAGAAAGACCTGGGTTCAAACGATGAACCTCCCACTCCCATGTAATCTTAAGAAACTCACTTCAATTCTGGTCTCCGTCCATGTTGCTATGACATCACTCATCGTGCCTGCTCGCTGTTGTCCCTGTAAGGTTTACAAAGCTCTATGGATTCCTAGAATGTTAATCCCTCCACTTCAGAGTGACTGCTATAGATTGCTCTTTTTTCTTCTTTCTTCCTTTCTTTCTTTCTTTCTTTTTTTCTTTCTTCCTTTCTTTCTTTCTTTCTTTCTTTCTTTCTTTCTTTCTTTCTTTCTTTCTTTCATTCATTCTTTCTTTCTTTCCTTTTTGAGTTTTAATTGTGGTCAAATATTTACAACATAAAATTTACTGTTTTAGTTATTTTTAATAATTAAGTACATTTGCATTATTGTACAACCATGTCCACCATCCATCTTCAGAACTCTTTCGTCATCCCAAATGAAAATTCTGTTCCCATTAAATGATAACTTCCCTACTGACTTTTTATTGGCTTTTCTGAGGCCCTTTTCCAAGAAAAGTCCTTTCTAAGGAAAGAGTAAGGCAGGTGTCAGGCAAGGGTCAGCGCACAGCTGCAGGCTGGATTTGCCTATGGGACCAGCAAACAGTGGCTGACCTGGCATTCCCCAGGGTGCTGAGCTGGGTGCCTGGTTTAATCTGAACAGCTTAGGTGTCACAGACCTACTTCTTCATAGGACCAGGTCAGAAAGAGCCACCAGCACAAAAGCATCTCTCAGACCCAATTCAGGGACCTCAGTGTCCCACCCAGCCTGTGTGGGCAGGCAGGCTGGCTGCAGTGTGGTGTAAGGGAAAGATCACAGGGCCTGGGACAGGCTGCCTGGCTCCAAACTCCAGGCTCTGTGATTCTTGGAAAGCTCCTTGACCTTAGACTAAGTTTCACATTATTAAATACTAGAGGCCCAGTGCATGAAATTCGTGCATGGGTAGGGTCCCTAGTGGCTGCCTCCCTTCCCCCAGCGCCTGCCACCACCGCTGGCTGGGGTGGGGCAGGCCAGGAGGAGGGGCTATGGGCAGTTGGCCGGCCGGCCCCGCCCCCCTGGTCGAACTCCTGGTCAAACTGACCACCAGAGAGGACAATTTGCATATTAGGCTTTTATTATATAGGATAGGTGCTATTATTCTTACTTAAAGACTTGTTATTATTAAGAAAAAAGTGTCTCCCCCATGCTAGTGTCTTTTCCCACAGCACGTAGAATATACCCACTTGTTACAATCTTCTAACAGCCAGCCCCTTAGGGGACCCT